CCTGGATGTGGTGAGCCGAGGGAGCTGCCTCAGCTCAGCGGGCTTCTACCCCCAATCCCAAAGCCTCGTCTAAAAGGCCTCGTACCGACGAAAAAGCACCAGCCAGACCCAAGCCACGAGTGTTCTATAAAACAACCAGGATGTTTCACAAGTGTCAAGTCACAAAAAACAAGGAGAGATAGAGGATCTGTCACACTGGAGGGAGACAAAGGAGACATGATCCTGTGTGTGGTCCCAGAATAGAAAGGGACATTAGGGAAACTAGGTATATCTGGATAAAGCCAACAGCTTTCTGTAGTGCTAATAGCTATATTCTGTCATACATGGTAAAGAATCATTGTAAATTTGTTCTACACACTCTTTGCCATTGGTGTAAGTTAAAATGATTTCTTAGAGAAATGAATCCATTGAAATATGAAAAGATATTTTTATTTAACTGGTGTCCTTAGGTTATGTGGTGGTATGCATGTGAATTTCCCACAGAACTTTTTTGTAATTTTTTTTTGGTCCGGTCGTGGGGCCTGAACTCTGGGCCTGGGCGCTGTCCCTCAGCTCTTCAGCTCAAGGCTAGCGCTTTACCACTTGAGCCACAGCACCACTTCCGGCTTTTTTCTTTTTGCTTATGTGGTGCTGAGGAATCGAACCCAGGGCCTCGAGCATGCAAGGCAAGCGCTCTACCACTGAGTCACCTTCCCAGCTCAGAGCTATTTTTTTTTAATTTTTAACTTTTTTTTTTTTTTTTTTTGCCAGTACTAGGGTTTGAACTCAGGGCTTTGCACTCTTGCTCTGCTTTTTAATTAATGACTGGTACTATACCTCCTGATCCATGCCTCTACTTCCAGCTTTTTGTGGTTTATTCGAGATCAGATTCTCAAGGCTTTGTCTGCCCAGGCTGTCTTCAAACCTTTGATTCTTAGAGCTCAGCCTGCTGAGTGCTAGCATTAAAGATGTGAGCCATCCGTGCCTGGCTTCATTTTAATTTTGTGATGGAATATTTCCTTAGCATAGTAATACTCTTCTTGCTCTTGTCTGTTGAATCTAATCTAATCCATTCTTGACTTGGATTTTCATGACCGGACTCAATTTTTTAAGCCCATTTATAAAGTAGTGTTAAAAAAAATCAGAGGAATCAGAGCTTGATTCTACCCAATGTGGCTTTGAGGTCTTGTGTCTATGAATTTTACAAGTGTGTGTGGTTTTGCCTCCATCTGTAGGCTGTCTACTTTCTGTTCTTAACAGGTTCTAGGATGCCTTTCTTTTTCTGTGATAATTACTGCTTCTATTTTTCTATTTTTTGTTTGTTTTTTTGGGTCCGGTCATGGGGCCTGAAGTCTGGGCCTGGGTGCTGTTCCTCAGCTCTTCAGCTCAAGGCTAGCGCTCTACCACTTGAGCCACAGCACCACTTCCGGCTGTTTTCTTTTTGCTTATGTGGTGCTGAGGAATCGAACCCAGGGCCTCAGGCATGCAAGGCAAGAGCTCTACCACTGAGCCACCTTCCCAGCCCCTATTTTTCTATTTTTTTAAAACAGAAATCATCTATTTTGAAGTGTTTCTGCCTGTTCCGAATCCATCTGGCCCTGACTCATTGGTCACATAGTCGAGTCTAGTGACCTGTGTCCCATGTGTGACTGACTGTAGGGGAGAGAGAGCCTCATGTATGGTTAGGGTTAAAGGCTCTGATGCCTGCACTAAAATTTTTCTGCTTTCTGTTATGGCAATTCCCTTATCTTCTTTGCCTCAGATTCCTCCTACATAAAACAAGACTATCCAGCCGGGCGCTGGTGGCTCACGCCTGTAATCCTAGCTACTCAGGAGGCTGAGATGTGAGGATGGAGTTTCAAAGCCAGCCCAGGCAGGAAAGTCCCATGAGACTCTTATCTCCAATTAACTACCAGAAAACAGAAGTGGCGCTGTGGCTCGAGTGGTAGAGCGCTCGCCTTAAGCTGAAGAGCTCAGGGACAGCGCCCAGGCCCAGAGTTCAAGCCCCACACCTGACCAAAAAGAAAACAAGACTAATCATAATGCCTGTATCATAAACTGGTACACATGAAGAGATTAGAGTGCTCAGTATTGGAATGCCAGCATTACCATTGCCCACAATACCCAACGTGATTTCATGCTGCCTGTAATACTGGGACACCTTGCCAACTAGCCTTGTTCAGTGCACTAACCAGGCAAAGCCAGAACACGACTGATGTTTCCTTCCCCAAGAGGCTTCCGGCTCCCTCTTGTGACAGTTATGAAGAGGAACAACTATTAGTTACAGAATTATTTGTCTTGCAATGAGAAATAACCTTGGAGAAAAACTATTTTATCACTCTATGTATTCACCCTACTCTATGCCTATATTAGAATGTGTTTACAACAAACACAGATGTGTTAGAGAAATACTTGTAATCTTCCCTTCAGAGCCCATATCCACAGAAGGGGCTGAGGCACAGCTAGTCTGGGAAAATGTAGAGTTTGCACTTGAGTAGTCTCCAAAGAATCTCAAGTTACCCAGACAACAGTCAGCAAACACCTTGCCCTATTGAGTATGCTGTTTGGATGGATCTTAGGAACTTCTTTTGATATCATTGTGCTGAGAGGACTTTAGAGAACCAAGAGAGTATTGATGGCTTATGTCATTTCAGGGAATTGTGGTCCAAAGTACCAGGATCATATGGATCAATCCATAATGTCAGCCTCTTCTGGAGTCTAGCTGGGCATGGTGTTGGGCGCATTTGCTTCACTTCTCTACTGGGAGTTTAGAGGGTCACTCCGTGTGCTTGGTGTTGGACTCTGTGTGTGTGCACGCGCGTGCATGTGTGGTTTGTTTGAGAAAATCAGTGTCCTCATAGACGCTTTCCTATGTTTTGAAGATTGACTCAGTTAATACCATGATTTGAGATCATTTTACTGTCATTGACAGCTAGAACACTTTAGCCCTGTTAATCACTTTTTCAAGAATTGCAAGCAGTTGTTACCTCTAGGAACTTCAGTTTACTAGATATACTAGTTGCTGATTTTGCAACTAGTATATATTTCCATACTCCAAATGAGTATAACTGTTTAAACTGAATTATATCAGATTCCAAAACTCTTGGGTTTTTTTTTAAAATAAGCTTCCACGACATAGCCCAGTTTGGCCTTCAACTTTCAATCTTCCTACCTTGGCCTCCTGAGTGCTAGGGTTATAGACCTGTGCCCACCATGCCCAGAAGCATTTCTGTTCTCTTATTTACTATAGCATAGGCCTGTGATCTAACTTGAGGTGTGATCTGAGTCATTTTCCTGCTTCAAAATCATTTTATTGCTGGGCAAAAAAAATGATTTAAAAAAATTCAACTTTCAGCTGGGTGCTGCTGGCTCACGCCTATAATCCTAGCTACTCAGGAGGCTGAGATCTGAGGATCACGGTTCAAAGCCAGCCCGGGGGAAGGAAAGTCTGTGAGATTCTTATCTCCACTAAGTGGCACTGAGGCTCAGGTGATAGAGCGTTAGCCTAGAGCTGAAGAACTGAGGGACAGCACCCAGGCCCAGAGTTCAAGTCCACAATGACAAAATTAAGTTAAAAAAAAATCAACTTTCTAAAATAATGATTCCTACTCTCTACAGTGTCTTCCAACATTTAAGACTTAGTACTGCAAGGAAATTGTCTCTCCTACTGTATGTAGTTTGTCATCTTTGTTAAAAATGGAAAGTTTCTATCCCAACAACAATTCTTAGACTGCTGGGCCACGTTATCAATGATAACATCTTCAGTTAATCAACAAAAAGTTATGCTGGGGGAATGGCTTAAGTGGTAGAGCACCAGTTATGAACAAGAAAGCTGGGCAAGAGCCTGAGGGCCGGAGTTCAAGCTCTGGCACTAGCAAAAATGAAAATGGGACTGATGTGAGTAGGGTCTCCAAGATAGTAATTGAGCTGAGACTTACTGCCTGGATTGTGAGAAGTAACAACAGCCTTGCTCTTTCTACTACACCTGTCAGCTCTGAGTTTTACCTGCTAATTCCTACAGACTGAATAATTCCTAGTTCTGTCAGGGTGAACCTCTTGAACCTCTTTCAGCCTGACTTAAGAGAATAGCTTTTGTCAGTGAGTGCTCAAAAACCCAAGCTTGGCATTCCTGAACCAGTTAGTGGCCAATTTGTTTACTTAGTAACCTCTTTGTTTAGATATGATTCACATACAATGAAACTGACCCTCTAAAGTGTACAATCCAGTGGGTTTCGGTATATCTTCAGGATAGGGCGGCATTCACCAGGGTTACTTTGGAACACAGTTACTTCATCACTACTAAGAAAGCCTGTGTCCGTCCATGAGGCAGCTCCAGCAAAATGCTGTATGGACAGCAGGAATTTGTCTTTCATGAGGCTTGAGGTGGGGAAGTCCAGATTTAATGTCCAGTGAGGTTCCACTTCATGGTTCATAGATGGCTGCTTCTTGCAGGATGGAAGTGACGGGGTTCTATGGTCTCTTGTAAAGCTAGTAACCCACTTCCACCTAATCATCTCTCCAAGCCCCTGCCGTCTAATGCCATCATCGTAGGAATTAGGGCTTCTCATGAAATCAATCTCCACCCTCCTTCCCCTCACCCTGCCCAGCCACTATTAATCTGCTTTATGTCTCTGTGGGTCCTCCTTTTCTGGACATTTCCTGTATTCGGTCAGTCTCAATAAGCTCAAGGTTCACCCATACTATCACATGTCTGTATGTCATTGTTTTTTCACTGCTGAATACTATTCCCTTGTATGAATAGCCCACTATTTGTCCATCCATTCATCAGTCAGTTGACACCGGAGTTTCCACTCTGCTGGTGTGGACGGTGCTGTTCTGCATGTTGACAGATGGCGTCTCATGTCTTTCTACTTTGCCGGTTTGCTCTCAGCTCCTCCTTGGTAGTTCAGTAAGCCTTCCATTTGGTCAGAGGATTTCTGGGCACACAAGTTGCGACCATAGCGGGTGTGTTGGGAGTGTGCATTGCAGTCAGTGTTCCTACGCCTGTGCTTTTCTCACAGACTTGCCCTTCATGTGGAATCACATTTGCTCCCAAAACTGAAGCTGGTGCAGAAGGAGGAGCTGTACAAAATGGCTGTCAAGACGAGCCCAAGGCCAGCACCAAGGTAACAAGCTCATGGCTGTTGTTCCTGTCAGTTCCTCTCCTGGCGCATCCACCTAAGGTGACATTCCTGTCTCGTCAACTTCTTAGTTCTGAGTGTAACTCAGAACTGCCTTCTAGTCTGGGTGTTGAATAGACCAGTGAAGGGCATGAGGGAGGGGCTGGGCAGAGCATGGGGTACAGCATGCCGAAGGCACTGTGGGGGTGGAAGTGTGGACAGAAGGGGGAGTCGGTGCTGACCCTGGTGCAGTAGCATGATTACATGCTAAACTAGCCATTGGCTTTGACACCTCTGGGTGGGAGTGGGGAGTGGATTTGTGGGCTGGAAGCTGGGTTCAACTTAAGGTAGAGTACAGAAGTGTAGAGAGAACAGAGGTCTCCTCCAGTGACCCCTGAAAGAGACACAGAGGCAGGTTTAGCAGCAGGGAGGCTCCCTGGGAAATGGGGCTTGGAGATCCGGCAGGGCTGGAGTGGAAAACAGGGTAAAAGCCTGAGAGCTTCAGGAAAGCCTCTGCGGCTGCCTCTCAGGAAGGCCCTGGGCTCTCTGTCATTCACTCCCCACCCCAGCATCCGCCAGAGAACTTGTGCGTGCAGGTCAGCCTCGCCTCTCAAAACATAAGCCCCAACTAGCCATCCGCCTGCTCCCCAGTGTCACATCAGCAGCCTGGGCTTCCTCTCCTTGAACCCCTTCTTGTGCCTCCCCAGAGGTCCCACGGACCTTCTTCCAAACCCCAGAGCCCCAGTTCTGTGGTAAGCAAACTTCTGGATCTCAGCCCTATCACTGGCTCTTTCCACAGCCTGCCTCTCCTGACTCTGCTGGCTGCCTGACCAGTAAGGAAGGCTTTTCCCTAAGGTGAATTCACCAAGAAACAGGTCGATAGAGATGTTCACAGATTTCTGGGGAGAGGGAACCTGCACAAGCGAAGGGCCAGGGCTGCAGCGTGGCAGAGGGGCACGTGGGCTCAGGCTGGGCTCAGCTCCCTGCTTCACTCCCCACGCTGGCCTCCTCTCTGTCTTGAGGCAGGTCTCAGGAGGGCCCAGCTCCAAAACCCAGAATGGACTTCTGAGCCCCCCTCAAGAGGAGAAGCTTACCAACAGTCAAACCTCCTTGTGCGAGATCCTTCAGGAAAAGGGGCGGTGGGCAGGTGTGAGCTTGGACCAGTCAGCCCTCCTCCCACTGAGGTTCAAGAACATCCGTGAGAAAACCGATGCCCATTTTGTGGATGTCATCAAAGAAGACAGGTAAGGCCCGGCCATCAAGGGTGGAGGTCTGAAGAAGCTTCTCCCTCTTCCTGAACTGCCTTATCCACACATCTGCCCTCATCTCTGATACGCTACTTCATAGTTCTGCCGGAACTGTGTCCCCAGCTCAGTTTAGTGGAGGTACAGGCGCACACCATTAGATTTTTAATGTCTTCTTAGTCTTACAACTGCATTCCTTCCCTTCAAGTGAAGATATCTTGCAGTAGAGGTCATCTCTCTCTTCTCATTCCTTACGTTGTAGTTGTTGCATGGATTACATTATTAAACCGTCAACTTGTAACCCCAACCTCTGAGTGATCTTGAGTTGATCTCTGTTGGTTGCTTTTCTTCTGTTGAATATAATCGTGTTTTCCAAATTCTCTGTATGACTACTAACTTTGGATTGTGTCACAGACATTGCGCATGGCGTTTGCAAGGTCTAAATCTTGTTGATGTTCTTCTGAAGAGTATCCATTTTTGTTTCAGCAGGCGAGCATGGTCACGCTGTTCTTTTAGATTTAACTGGGTTGCTTGGAGTCAGCCATGCATGTGCATATATCACGGAGCAGCCTGAGTTTGAGCAGAGTTGAATCTGGAGCCCAGGGTTCTTTCACTTCTGGAACCTATAACCTCATTCTCCCTGTGGTCACCCCAAGCTATATTTTCTAGCTTCTTAAGCCAGTTTGACTGTGGTTTCCCCTCCCCTCCCACTCCTACCTCTTCTCTCCTTCTCTTTCTTTCATTTCTCTTCTCGTCTGTCTATTTCTCCTCTCTCTTTTCCTTAACTTTTCTTCCCCTTTCCTCTTTCCTTCTCCCTTTCCCCTTCCATTCCTGTTCCCCTTCCCTTCTCCTTCCATTCTTCTCCTCACTTCTTCCTTTCCTCTCTTTCCCCAGAATCTTAGTTATGTAGAACAGGCTGGCCTAGAACTTGTGTTCCTCCTGCCTCAGCCTCCCAGGTACTCAATCACAGGTGCACCTCATACCCACATCCAAGACTAGGGCTCTCCTATCTGAGTGCTAGCCACCCTTCCCTCAAATGTGCTGACTGATGTCTACCTTCAGTCCACAGACAACAAAAATGAACATGGAAACCTACCTGATACTGCTCCCTTCTCCCCAGGGTGCAGCCTCCTCTCTGTTCTCTGCTCACCCTGGTCTCTGTTCTGGCAGGTGTAAGGGGGGTTGTTTGTTTGTTTGCTAGTTTACAGTTGTTGTGTGGTCTGTGAGATGATTGGTCCAAAATAAGCTATCTTCCCCATTCCCAAAAGCAGAACCTCCATGCGTGAACTCTGAATCCCCACAGCTGCTCTGTGGTTTCCCCTCTGTCTGTATTTCCTGAGTGGAAGAGAAGGGAGAGAGCCAGCATCAGGGGACAGAACTTTCCCTCCTATGACCCTGAGAAGGCTGTAAGTGAGAGTCCACCCTGCAGCAAGAAAAGGAGCATACCGACAGACTCCTACTGTGTGTCAGGTGCAGGCTAGACTCCTGACATTTTATCTGACTTCATGCTAACAGTCACTGTGTGCCATAACTATATTTGACTTCTGAAATCACATCAGCATTCCTTTAATTTTCTAGTCATTTTCTGTAACATAAAAGGGTCTTACTGTTTGTTGGCAATTCATAAAAGAATGAGTCACATAAAGCAGATTTGATTTCTCTATTAAAATGGTTGAACTTTATCATTTTTCAGTTTTCACACACACTCTGTGTATGTGACAACAGCACTACAATTACGCTAACTCTAAACACCATTTGCAGTAGCAACCTGTTAGCTTGTACAGTCGTAATTACTGTCAGCACAGGACAGCCCATTCCGAACTGTTTTCTCTTGAAGTCTCCAAGTCAGTATAAGTATCCTTAGTGCAGACATCTGCCCATTCTTCAGAAAAGGATCTTTTCACTGTCTTCTAATTCTTTCAGAGAGGAGTATGTGCTCAATCGCACGGTCTAGTGGTATGATTGAGGTGGTCATCTGCAATAGAGGTAAAGCAGCACATGTGGTTGATATCTAGACTTTCCAGAGAAAGGGATCTACAAGGTATGGTGAATCTGGTCACATACTAGCTTCCACAGGCAGCTTTTTTTTGCTCTGTGAGTGACATTTACGTTGCTGATTGTGATCTTCTGATAAGTTCATCAGCTATATTTCTTGTATCTTCTAGCCTGATGAAAGATTATTTCTTCAAGCCACCTATCAATCAGTTCAGCCTGAACTTCCTGGATCAGGAGCTGGAACGATCCTACAGGACCAGCTACCAGGAAGAGGTGAGTTTTCCCTGTGTCTGCTTATCAGAAATCTACCAGACACTTGAGCCAGCCACTGTTTGTTTTCTGCTTCAGCAAGTAACCAGAAAATGAAGGCTTGTTTGGGTTTCTCATCATCAGTAAGCATCAAGTTGCAACTATGGGTAAATTTATCTCTGCAAAGGGAAAAAAAAATCCAATGCATTCTGCAGTCCTTTATCTTAAAGTCGACCTTGGTTGTCATCAGACCTTTTCCTCCGCAGCTGGTGTCTCTGGCCCTGTGGAGGTCTCCAGTTCTTAAGCTGCTCTCCTCTCCAAATCGTGTTCTTGTTGGTTTGTGGTTTTGTTTTGTTTTGTTTTCATGCAGAAAAAGAGTTTATTGGGGGGGAGCAAACTGCAGGTCCACACAAGATGGAGGCACACAGAGACAGAGGGGTGGGAGAAAGAAAAGAAGAGAAGAGAGTGCTGTTTTGTCCCCTTGCAATGGGCCCAAGAGCTCAGCAGGCCTTGACCTTGTTCCACAACACGCTCCAGCCAACGGTGCCTGACTGTGGTCCTCTGCCTCCTAGTCACTCCTCATTTTCCCCATGGAGCCCTCACTGGCCCCAGCTGCATTTTACTTCCCCTGTGTCCCTTTTCTCCTTTGTGTGTACCCCACGTTGGAGTCCTATACGATTTTTAGATCTTGTCTCTTCCTTCTCCGTGCTCATCCAGCATCCAGCACGGCTCCCATACCCAATGAGCTCAGCTAGGTCCTTGGGAGGAGTAAGGACAAGAATGTGGAGCCTGGTTGATGTTCGAAGCCGGAGATGCCAATGTTCTTTCTCCAAGCTCAAACTTAGCTAGAGCATTCCAGAGGCAAAAGTACATACCTACACAAATCAAGGACCCAAAGCACTTCCAACTAAATTCCATTTTCCCATTCTGCTGGACTTTGCGTCTGTTATGTTGAGACATTGTGAACAAGACAGAGCCAGTCTGAGCCTCCAGGCAGGGGAGGGACCAGCTTCTCTATTAACTCCCCAGGGACAGTGAACAAGACTTAGCATGAGCTAATCAGTCCTTCAGTGGACTCTTGAATAGGCCATTTGGTGGCCAGTGAGGCAAAACATGATTTCACCTAACCTTCACAACCCGTTAAGGAAGCCAATGATTACTATCCTTATTTTGCCAAAGATAAAGCCAAGGCTAAGAGAAGTAAAATAGGTGACCCACCCATAAGTATAGTTGGATGCCAGTCTATCTGAGTTCAAGGCCACTATCTCAACCAGCCCCACCCCCTTGCTACACTGCAGAGCCTCCCGCGTAGAAGTGCTTGTCACCACCCCCCAGTCACCAAACACTTTCTGAGCCTCTGGGCTGCCTGGATGGTTCTGTGTGCTGAGACAGGGAAAAGAAGGGTACACTGACAGGGCAGCAGAGATGATAATACAGAGCCACAGGTCCCATAGTGCCCTGGGAGCAGACAGCAAGGCATCAGCCCCAGACGGAGGGCCCAGAAGTGGTAACTCCTCAGCCCACTTTAGTAAGAGGACTAGCAACTAACCAGTGAAGGAAGAGGGACATTCCAGAGGGAGGAACGAGCCCCTGCAGCCCTTAGAGACACAAGAGAGACTGGTGTGTCCAGCAAGTCAGGTTGCCTCTGAGGGGCAGTGGTGAATGCATGGCAGGAGGTGGACGCTTGCGCTGCCCATGTGCCAAAGACCAGAGCCAGTGATTGGAGTGAGAGATGGCTCTATCCCGTTGTATCTATGAAGATCGTGTGGGGAGTAGATAGACAGATGGGGAGCTGTTGCTGAGTACAGGGCAGTCCACATCCTCAGCATGGTGTTTTTCATGCAAGCTTTTCCATCCATAAAGTACAGGCACAAGTGTTATCCCTGTTTCCAAAAGGAGACCAAGGCAAGGGGAGGTACAAGACATTACAGAAAATAATCCAGGCTGTGAGCTTGGGCCGGTCCAGCTTTGGGATCAGGGCTGACCAGTAGCCTCAACCCCATATCTGAGCTCCCCCCTTCTCCTAGCTCACCCAGCTCTTGGGGGTCTTGCTGGGGCTGGGACACCAGAGCCAGTGTGTCCTGAAGGGAACATGCACCAGATGCAAGACCTGTTACAGGCCTTGCCCTTCCCGTGCACCTCTAGCCTCACCCAAACTGAGCCCTGCTTGGGGCAGGCAGAAAGTTGGAAGGCATCTTCAGTGATTTACTGCTGTCTTCCTTCTCACCAGAACCCATGTCCCAGGAGGACCCCAGGAAGGAGTTAGGAGTCAGTTTATCTGACTCCTTGTTTGCTGTGTGACCTGGGGGGATCCTTGGCCTCCTTGTGCACATGTTGAGTGAGATCAGGAGCATTTCCTCCTGTACCTGTTGAGAGCACCGGGATCATGACCCTGTACGGCCCACGCAAAGACTAGAATTAGTTGTCTCTGATCTGTTAGTGCCGTGGCTATTTCCTCCTGGCTTAATTCCCTACCAGCCCTAACATGCCTTTTTATTACATTTGACACGCCCTCCTGCAAGTCCTATTGCTGTCTCTCCCACCATCAGACTACGAGCTCCCCACAGGTATCATTTCATGTACACCAGCACACACTTGGCGAGGCAGGCAGGCTCCTGCATGGAGATTTGATTTCTGACAGCCATGGGCTCCCATTCCACCTCTCTGGGAGCTTTCCTCTGTGGCTGCTCACATCCTCACCTGTCTAATCCTGGAGCCGGTATTTACATCCCTTGAATCTGGGAGCCCATCCTTCTGTGGAGACTTCTGTATTTGCTGCCATTTTCCTTTTACAGATGTGGACTCACTGACTGCTAGGCAGTAACTCATCATTCAAGATCAGTATTCGGTATCTCTGTGAGACAGAGTGGACTGGTTGATAATCAGCTGCTGTATGACCCTGGGAAAGCTGCTTAACTCTCTTTGCCTTAGCTTCCTCTTTGTTAAATCAACCAACAGCAAGGAGATGGTGTGTCTCCAACACCTGCCAGCCTGTGTCTCGTCTAGAGTAGGCAAGCACTCAGTAATTGTTGCTATTTTCCCTGTAAACTGTGGTCCCTGGTCACATCAGTTCATCCCAGTCTCCTGCTCCAAACAGGTCATAAAGAATTCTCCTGTGAAGACATTCGCCAGTGCCACCTTCAGCTCCCTCCTGGATGTGTTTCTGTCCACAACAGTGTTCCTGATTCTCTCCATCACCTGCTTCCTGAAGTATGGGGCCACTGCCACGCCTCCCCCACCAGCTGCCCTTGCTGTCTTTGGAGCAGACCTGCTGCTGGAGGTGCTGTCCCTGGTCGTATCCATCAGGTGAGTACCTGCCCCAGGGCTGCTCTGCAGTGCTTAGCCTTTAGCTCCCTCTTCTGGCTCCTGACTGCCACACAGTGGCCAGGAGTCGGGAGCCAGCTGTCCCTCTGAGCTTCTTTCCAGGTATTTGGTTTCATTTCTGCTCCACAGCACCCTTTTCACAGATGCTAGCCCTCATCATAGTCGGACTGCTTGCTAGAGAAGGTGGGTTCCCTCCACAGTCCCTCTGCCACCAGCACATCCCTGGATCCCCTAAATTAGAGGGTAAACGGGAGAAGCAAAAAGACAGGAAATGACGGAGGAAGGACACAGGGAGCAAACATCCCAGGAAGGCCCCCAGTACTTTCTCCTCTGCTTCCAACTGCTGGCCTGCCCCAACTCAGCAGCCCCTCACTCAGTCAAGACCTACCCTCTTCATCTGAGGTTCCCAGCCCATACACTCAGCTGCCTGCTCTTCATAAAAACAATTTTATCACATTAATATTGTCCTCCTGAACAACCTACCTCCTAGAAAACACAGCTGCAAAAAAACAGAAGAATGCTGTCTCTGGCTGAATGCCAGTGGCTCACGCCTGTAATCCCAACTACTCAGGAGGATGAGATCTGAGGATTGTAGTTGGAAGCCAGCCTGAGCAGAAAATTCATGAGACTCTTAGATTAACCAGTAAAAAGCCAGAAATGGAGTCATGGATCAACTGGTAGAGTGCCAGCCTTGAGTGAAAAAGCTGCAGGAGAGCACAAGGCCCTGTCAAGCCCCAGTATCAGCACACACACACATGATCTCTGTAATACTAAAGAGAAATGAAAGTCACTTAAGGGCTGGAAATGTGGCTCTACAATAGAACACCTGCCTAGCAAGCAAGAGGATCTGATCAATTGGAAAGGCATGAAAAGGAAAGGGAAATGGCAGAGAGGAGGGGAGGGGAGGGGAGGAGAGGGGAGAGAAAGAGAAAGGGAAAGGAAAAGAGAAAGAGAAGGAAAGGAAAGGGGATGCTTAAAATCTGCGTTGCTTTACGGGGTCCATGCCCTCTGGGAAACGACAAAGCTGTCTGCAGTCTTCCCTCAGGACCCCTGGAGCAAATGTGATAGCTGGAAGCACGGGGTGTACAGTTAGTGGCCAGGATCGTGATGGTGTGACTTTCTGAAATGCGGAGCCACCCTTTGTGACCCAGACTAAACAAAAGACAGCCTTCACTTGGTTTACAAAGGAGTCACAGTCCCTTTAATACTTCACTGTTGGCACACAGAATGCAACTGGGCCCTAGGCTGCAATGTTATCATCCAGCTGCCAGGGGTCATATAGCAGTTACATGAGATGTGAGGTGGAGCTTCTCTGTGTGGCACTTGCCTGAGCCTGGCAGGGCACCTCCATCCCTGGCTTCAGCCCACTGGATGCCAGTAGCTACCCTCCTCTATTGTGGACCTGCAGATCACCTCAGAGTGGCCCCGTTCAGGATCTGCCATGGAAGCAGGTCGGAGCAGGTGACAGTGGTGGCAGCCCTGTAGTAGACTCTACTTGGGGTCTGTTACATGCTCTCTTGGACCCACAAAGGCATGAGCTTGGCTCTTGACAAGCACATTTTGACCACAGTGCATCAGGTGACCTTGTAAGTCAGGTGTGAGGAGCCAGAGCGAGGGCTGTTCGTTGCCTGTTCACACTGTGAGGGATGCGGAGCCCGTGGCACCCACTCCCCGCTCCCAGGGCAGCGGCAGCACAGGACAGTGGTCCAGGCACCGTGGCCTCAGTTCCGGAAGGCTGACCCATGGCTCCCCTGCTGCCTTCCTCTCCCGAGCCAGAATGGTGTTCTTCCTGGAGGACGTCATGGCGTGCACGAAGCGGCTCCTGGAATGGATCGCGGGGTGGCTCCCTCGTCACTGCATCGGGGCCATCCTAGTGTCGCTGCCTGCGCTCGCCGTCTACTCCCACATCACCTCTGAGTTTGAGACAAACATCCATGTGAGTAGCATCTGGCTGTATTGTCTCCACACTCTCCGGGATCCCTAACCTCCGGCTCACTCTCTTTAATCAAGCCTGGTTACTCAGAATTTAAAGACAATTTAAAGACAGCTCCCTCGAGAGCTGCACTACATGGAGCATTGTCACTGCCCCGCCCGGCTGGGCAAGGCAGGTTCTCCAGTAGCATAGGGTTTTCCCAGCGGCATGGCCTCCTTTACATTTCAAATCAGCTGACAGTCCCTGACTCCTCATAGTTCAACGTCAAATTTTTACCTCATAGCGTACAAAAGCAAGCACAACACACAAAAAAACATTCTGGGATTTATTTATTTATTTATTTATGTTGCCAGTGCTGGAGCTTGAACTCTGTGCCTGGGCACTGACCCAGAGCTGCTTTTGCTCAAGGCGAGCGCTCTACCATTTGAGCCACACCACCACTTCCAGCTTTTTCGAGTAGTTTATTGGAGGTAAGAGTCTCAGGGAGTTTCCTGCCCAGGCCGGCTTTGAACACAATCCTCAGATCTGACTCCTGAGTAACTAGGATGACAGGCATGAGCCATTGGCGCCTGGCTACAAACAACCATTCTGATCCTCACTTTGTACAGCATCCAATAGCTTACCTCAGAGAGTCAGTGCTTGGTGAGATGACTGCCCAACTGTAATCTCACATAAGCTTTCTTGAGTGCAGTTAGGATGAGTTAGGCTAAGCTGTAAAGCTTATGAATAAAGATTAGGAATTTTTTTTTTAATTTTTTGGGTCCGGTCGTGGGGCCTGAACTCTGGGCCTGGGCGCTGTCCCTCAGCTCTTCAGCTCAAGGCTAACGCTCTACCACTTGAGCCACAGCGCCACTTCCGGCTTTTTTTCTTTTTGCTTATGTGGTGTTGGGGAATTAAACCCAGGGCCTCATGCATGCAAGGCAAATGCTCTACCACTGAGCCACCTTCCCAGCCCCAAGATTAGGAATATTAAAAAACATTTTTTACTCTTTTTTTTTTTGTCAGTTGTGAGGCTTGAACTCAGGGCCTGGGCACTGTCCCTGAGCTTTTTTTTTTTTTTGGGGGGGGGGTCCAGTCATGGGGCCTGAACCCTAGGCCTAGGCACTGTCCCACAACTCTTCAGCTCAAGGCCAGTGCTCTACCACTTGAGCCACAGCGCCACTTCCGGCTTTTTTGTTTTTGCTTATGTGGTGCTGAGGAATGGAACCCAGGGCCTCAGGCATGCAAGGCAAGCGCTCTACCACTGAGCCACCTTCCTAGCCCGTCCCTGAGCTTTTTTGCTCAAGCCTAATGCCCTACCACTTTGAGGCACTGCTCCATGTCTGGTTTTTGAGTGGTTAATTAGAGGTCAGAGTCTCATGGGGACCTTTCTGCCTGTGCTGGCTTCAAACTGTGATCTTCAGATCTCAGCCTCCTGAGTAGCTAGGATTACAGGCATGAGCCACTAGCACCCAGCATTTTTTATTTATTATCATTCCCATTTGTCACCTTTTTCTCAAGGTACTAGGGGTAAAATTCAGGATTTTGTGCATGGTAGGCAAATGCTCTACCACTGAGCTATAGCCCTAGCCTCATCATTCCCGTTTGCAATAGGCTTATCAGAATGTAACCTGGGGTAAGTTGAGGAGCATTTGTATTTTCCTTTCATGCTTTACAAAGCAGCATCTGCCCATGTTTCCAAACAAGATAATGTGCAAGTTTGCAGAAGTAAGATTTGCCCTGGATTAGCTGTCACTGCTCAGGGAAAAAGCTGTTGAGTTAAATACCATAAAAAAGTAAGTGAGTCATTGTAACGTGATGAGCTTGACTGTATTTGATAGTATAACACAAATCTCAGCGAGCTTGTGGCAGGGGCCTGGAGGAGCATTTGGGAAGTAACTGATCTGACAGTGGTAGGTCCCCAATGAATGGCCTCCATGGAAGCTTGTAACTTAAAGCACTGAGTTATGGGCCTAAAAATGTGTGATCTGTCCTTGAAACTGCTGGCTCACCAGATATCAGAACCACTGCATACGCATGGACCGCTCTGTGGTGCCGCGATGTTAGGTCTTAAACACAGCGGTGGGTGAGCAGGTGCTCTGGTTTAGGATGGTCAGCCCAGGTGGAGGTGGGGGCAGGCACAGGGAGGAGGGCACGGACTGACTGCTGCTGCCTCTTGCAGTTTACCATGTTCACCGGCTCCGCCGTGCTGGTGGCTGTCGTGCACTACTGCAACTTCTGCCAGCTCAGCTCCTGGATGAGGTCCTCCCTTGCCACCGTCGTGGGGGCCGGGCCGCTGCTGCTGCTCTACATCTCCCTGTGCCAGGACAGGTACGTGACTGGAGCCATCAACTCATGACCACCTTGCCCAGTGTTGCTTAGAGCACGACTGCAGCTTCACATTAGCACTGACTCCTCAAAGATAGTTGTTCTCATGACCCAAAATAGCTTCCAACACATAGAACCTCCAGAAAGCAGAAAAGTGCCCTCAGATTGATTCACAAAGGAAAGAAAATAATTTATAACCACATCTAGAAGCTGCGCATCCCTGATCTAGAAGTCTGAAATCCAAAATGCTAGAGAATCTAGCATTGGGATTTTCTGGGTGGCTTTCACCGAAAACAGAATACAGTAGTAGCATCTTTGATTTTACAAGTATCATTAATTAAAATCTAAGAAAATAAGTCCTGAAGCCATCTTATAACGAAATCAGGAGAGAAGCCAGGCATGATGGTACACACCTATAATCCCAGCACTAAGGAGGGGAAGGCCTGAGGAGCTCAAGTTTAATTCCATCCGGGACTACACAGTAAAACCCTAAAAAACCTAAAAAAGAACCCACACACCCAACACAAACACATGAAAGAAAGAACAGAGGTCCAGGTTGACAGAGGGATGCAAAAGAAGTGTGCTAGCGTTCACTAAGCGGGACACAGTGGAATAGATGAGGACCTGTAAACACCTTGCAAGTGCCTGGACTCCCATTGGAGCAGCTCACACGGTTTGACAGGAAGTGCCTGGACTCCCATTGGAGCAGCTCACACAGTTTGACAGGAAGTGCCTGGACTCCCATTGGAGCAGCTCACACGGTTTGACAGGAATGCCAGGAAGAGTGGCGAGTCACTGGACACCAGTCTTGGATCATGAAATCTCTCCACATCCTTGGGCTTCATTTCAGTCTCAGAATTCAGAACTACAGCTGCAGGTGCTCAGGAGTAGAGAGACGTTTAGGGAAAAAAAAATAAGGGTATTATGGTAGGCCTCTGGGGACAGAATTAGCTCTCACTGTGCCACAGAAACTTAAAAAATGAAAATATGCTGGGTGCCAATGACTCACGCCTGTAATCCTAGGTACTTAGGAGGCTGAGATCTGAGCATCTTGGTTCAAAGACAGCCAGGGCAGAAAAGTCCATGAGACACTTTTTTTTGGGGGGAGGAGGGGTCATGGGGCTTGAACTCTGAGCCTGGATGTTGTTGCTCAGCTCTTCAGCTCAAGACAAGTGCTCTACCACTTGAGCAGTGCCACTGCCAGTTTTCTGGTGGTTAATTGGAGACTTTCCTGCCCAGGCTGACTTTGAACTTCGATCCTCAGATCTCAGCCTCCCGAGTAGATAGGATTACAAGTGTGAGCTGCTGGTGCTGGTGCCGGCTCCACAAGACTCTTATCTCCAGTAAATTACTCAGAAAAAGTTGGAAGTGGTGTTGTGGATCAAGTGGTAGAGTGCTAGCCTTGAGCACAAAGAGGCTCAGTGACAGCACCCCAGGCCCTGAGTTCAAGTCCCAGGACCAGAAAAAAAAAATTTGTCTATCTCTCTCAATATAGGTAGATGTATGTAATTTACATCTATATGTAATTTATATCTATATCTAGATAGATAGATAGATAGATAACATGACAAGAAGGACAATTAAAATACCCTGTCCAAGTTAAGGCCAGTGAGACCTCTTTCTTCCAAGGGTTCCACTAATTCAATTGTGTTTGGTTCTTAGTTTGTTAAAATGAGTCTTAAACTAGCCAGGCACCAGTGGCTCATACCAATAATCCTAGCTACTCAGGAGGCTGAGATCTGATTTAGTAGTTCAGAGCCAACGCAGTCAGGAAAGTCTATGCAATTCTTATCTCCAGTTTATCAACAAAAAAGTTGGAAGTAGAGCTGTGGCTCCACTGGTGGAACAATAGCCTTGAGCAAAAAAGCTCAGGGAAGCCAGGCACCAGTGGCTCACCCTGTCATCCTAGCTACTCAGGAGGCTGAGATCTGAGGATCACAATTCAAAGCCAGCCTGGGCAGGAAAGGCCCTGAGACTCTTATCTCCAAGAAAACCACTAGAAAACTGGAAGTGGTGCTGTGGCTCAAGTGGTAGAGCACTTACCTTGAGCTAAAGAGCACAAGGACAGAGCACAGGCCCAGAGTTCAAGCCCCACAACCGACAAAAAAAAAAATGCTCAGGGACAGCACCCAGGCTCTGAGTTCAAGCCTTGTGACCAGTACACATACACAAAAAAAGTCTTAAACTACCTGTTGTATATCTGAAACTGGTTTTGGGGTTTTAAGCTCTGTCATCTAAATATGTGGTTGGAAATCATAATACTTCATATAGCAGAATGCACACAGTGAATAGTTAAAAGTTTCATGATCTCTTAAACCCATTCATCTTCTCTGTGTGTAACAAACCTTCCTAAATAACATTAAGCTTTTTCTACAATTTCTCTTTTAGTGTTTCGCAATTAGCAGGTATTGACGAAATACTTCCACATACTTACAGAAGTAGTTTTAAGGTTCCATGGGACATTGACTTCCCTGAGTTACGGTTGTCTGGTTTATGAGAGCCAAAAGAATCCCCCATTTTTGAGGGCTCCCCCAGCTCCCAGGAGTGGCATTACTGCTGCTGAGTACCACTGCTTTAATAAAATAACCCAAAATAACCCAACCTGGCCCAGTACCAACAGTACCAAATGTAACGGGTTTAGTGGATGTGTGGGTATTAGCAAAGCAATGACCAATAACCGACAAAGTAAGTGTCCTCCCTCAGTTTACTTAATAGAATAATAACAGCATGAAAGAGATTCAAGGGCCTGGGAAGGTGGCTCAGTGGTAGAGTGCTTGCCTTGCATGCATGAGGCCCTGGGTTCCATTCCTCAGCACCACGTAAGCAGAAAAAGCCGGAAGTGGCACTATCGCTCAAGTGGTAGAATGCTAGCCTTGAGCTGAAGAGATGAGGGTCAGTGTCCAGGCCCAGAGTTCAGGCCCCATGACTGACAAAAAAGAAAAAATAAAGAGATTCAAATTCTCTGCAAATTAAACTAAGTGCCAGTGGCTGAAGCCTGTAATCCTATTAGCTAGAGGCTGAGATCTGAGGATCACAGTTTGAAGCCAGCCCAGACAGGAAAGTCCATAAGACTCCCATCTCCAATTAATTCCCCGAAAACCAGAAGTAGTGCTGTGGTTCAAAGGGGTAGAGTGCTAGCCTGAGTGATAAAGCTCAGGGACAGCACCCAGGACCTGAGTTCAAGCCCCACGATCGACAGAAAAAAAGAGAGAATGTAAAGTACAACTGTCATTCTGTACCTGGAGGGAAACTGTTCAATTGCTTTAAGCAGAATGAAGCCTACTTTTATCTTTGTGAGGATGTGGCCATCTAGAGTTACCTGATTATCAAGCTCTGTACCAAGAGCTTAAAACCATCCTTGAACTTAAGACTCAACACAGACGCTTGGTTAGCACTAATCCTGACATTAGCTACGGCTGTGGGGCATTTTCACTTGGATCCAGAGAGATAAAATGGTGGAGACCATGCCACTGCCTTTCTACCCAGAATCTAAACAGCAAGAACTTGGGGTGGGACTAGTGAATGAATGACACTCCCTGGACCCAGGACCCTCCCATCTGTCACTAGGCCTATCCAAGGTAGGGGACACGAGAGTGGTGAGCACAAGCTTAGATCAGCTCTTTCACAGAGAGGGGGAGACATCAGAGTTCTGAGGCTGTCCAGCCTGGGGCGGGTGGGGGAGAAGGGGACACTGTTGTGAAGAAGGAAGTTGGCACATGGATTAGAAACCGTTCATTCAGATGTCCCAAGAGAGGAAAGTTGTTGTCCCCTTCTTGGATTGCTTTCTATAAGGCCTTCCTCACTTTTTTTTTTGTCATAATGTTTTTTCTGCATTTTCATTTCAGTTCCATAGCAACTTTGCCCCTGGATGCAGCACAGAACTTCAGGTAAGCCTTCAGCACAGGACCTGTGTCTGAACAAATAAGAAGGGCTGCCTTTGTCTCTGCTTATCCCTGGGCTTTCTGGAAACTGCCATCATCCAGGTAAAATGAGGACATTTGGGGGGTGAGAGACCCTGAGTTCAAGCCCCAGGAATGGTGCGCATGCACGCACGCACGCACACACACACACACACACACACAATAAGCAATGTATGCATCTGTAAAGAAGAAAAGTGGAAAGTAGCTACTTGTTGTTAGAGCTTGTTGTAAAAATAAATTGATCATTAGCACATACGTTAAAACTAGTTTAATGGAAAAAGTTGAAGCAGACAGAAATATTTGCAGGGCTCTTATGTAAAGAGCTATTAAAAGTCAAACATGGGGGCTGGGAAGATGGCTTAGTGGTAGAGTGCTTGCCTAGCATGTATGAAGCCTTGGGTTCTATTCCACAGTACCACATAAACAGAAAAGGCGAGAAGTGGCACTGTGGTTCAAGTGATAGAGTGCTAGCCTTGAGCAAAAGAAGCTCAGGGCTGGGTGCCAGTGGCTCACACCTGTAATCCTAGCTACTCAGGAGGCTGAGATCTGAGGATCATGGTTCAAAGCCAGCCCAGGCAGGAAAGTCCGTGAGACTCTTATCTCCAGTAAACCACTAGAAAACTGGAAGTGGCACTGTGGTTCAAGTGGTAGAGCGCTCGTCTTGAGCTGAAGAGCTGAGGGACAGCGCCCAAGCCCAGAGTTCAAGCCCTGCGGCCAACAACAACAAAAAAGCTCAGGGAGAGTGCCCAGGCCCTGAGTTCAAGCCCCAGGACTGGCAAAAAATAAAAATAAAAATCAAACATGGTGACACATCACTGTAATCCCAGCTACTCAGGGAGGCAGAGAATCTTAAGTTTGAAGCCAGCCCAGGAAAAAGTAGCAAGATGCTACTCCAAAAACAAAACAAAAACCTTCTACTTGGGAAGCTGAGATCAGGAGGGTCGCAGTTCAGAGACAGCCTAGGCATACACATGATAACCTTCTCCCGTCAGCCCAGCAGGTGGGAGGCTGAGATTGAAAGGATCTTAGTTCCAGGCCAGCCCACAAAAGACTGGGCATAATGGTCCATGCCCTGTCATCCCAAGCTGCAGGGGAAGCACAGTGGCTGAGCTCAGTGGCCTATACTTATCCTCCTAGCAACAAAGGAAGTACAAATGGGAGGACCATAGTCCAAGCCAGTCTGGATGAAAAGCAAGACCCTCCTTTAAAAATAACCAATGCACTGGGCACCCATGGCTCACGCCTGTCATCCTAGCTACTCAGGAGGCTGACATCTGAGGATCACGGTTCAAAGCCAGCCCGGGCAGTAAAGTCCATGAGACTCTTTATCTCCAATAAACCACTAGAAACCGGACGTGGCACTGTGGCTCAAGTGGTAGAGCTCTTGCCTTGAGCTGAAGAGCACAAGGACAGTGCCCAAGCCCAGAGTTCAAGCTCCACGACCTACAAAAACAAAACAAAACAAAAAGAAACACAATGAAAAAAGGGACCAGTGGGGTGGCTCAAGTGATAGAGTTCCTACTTAGGAAGTTTGAGGCCCTGAGTTCAAACCCCAGTATCAAAACAACAACTGTTTATGAAAGAATAAATGTGGTAGCTGGGCACCAGTGGCTCACACCTGTAATCTTAGCTACTCAGGAGGCTAAGATCTGAGGATCATGATTCAAGGCCAGCCCAGGCAAGAAAGTCCATGAGACTCTCATCTCCAATTAATGACCAGAAAACTGAAAGTGGTATAGTGGCTAAAGTGGTAGAGTGCTAGTCTTGAGCTGAAGAGCTGAGGAACAGTGCCTAGGCCCAGACTTCAAGACCCACGACCAACCAAAAAAATAAATAAAATATAAAGGTGGCTAAAAGACAAGAATGGAGACAGTGTCATATCATTACTAGTGATGCCTTTGCACCAAAGTTCCTGTAGGTCTTTTTTGAGAGAGGGTCTGTGTTGTCCAGATTGACCTCCAACTCATAATCCTTCTGCTTCTACCTCCCAAGTGCTGGGACTTTGAAAAAGTTGTAATGTGAATATGAAGAGCAGGCAAGTGTCTGGTATATTCATAAATTACTGGTAGTAGTTAACTTTTTTAAATTTTAGCTGCCAGGCACTTGAAATATATTTAATCTTCTCAATAGCATGATATTTTATGAGACTTTGACCCCATTTCCAAATGAAGAGCCTGAAGTTCAGAGAAACTAAGGAAGCTTTTTATTTACTTTTTTATTTTTGTCAGTTGTATGGGACTTGAACTCTGTACCTAGACACTGTCCCTCAGCTCTTCAGCTCAAGGCAAGTGCTCTACCACTTGAGCCACAGCGCCACTTCCGGTTTTCTGGTGTTTAATTGGAGATAAGAGGCCCATGGACATTCCTGCCTGGGCTGGCTTTGAACTGTGATCCTCAGATCTCAGCCTCCTGAGCAGCTAGGATTACAGGCATGAGCCACCGGCGCCAGTGGAAGCATTTTTATGATGAGAAATTGCATGTGTGCTGTAGCTATGGCTAATATAAAAGACTTAAGAGTATTTAAAAGTTAACATTTTAGAGATGTACGTATAACACATGCACTAAAGAGTTCCCAGATTCTAAAAGGATAGCTCCATGAATTTTTTTTTTTTTTTTTTTTTTTTGGGCCCGGTCGTGGGGCCTGAACTCTGGGCCTGGGCGCTATCCCTCAGCTCTTTAGCTCAAGGCTAGCGCTCTATCACTTAAGCCACAGCGCCACTTCCGGCTTTTTTCTTTTTGCTTATGTGGTGCTGAGGAATCGAACCCAGGGCCTCGAGCATGCAAGGCAAGCGCTCTACCACTGAGCCACCTTCCCAGCCCCAGCTCCATGAATTTTCACGAGCAAACATACTGTGTCACTACCACCCAGACCCAAAATCAGAACACTGCCAACACCCTGGGCCCCTCCCAGCTGCTCCTGATGGCACCCCTCCTCACACACAACTCCAGGTATAGATTTTCAGAGCCCCTGAAACACACAGAGATGCTAACAAATACCAATTATGGACCTAACAATTAGGCCCCAAACAAGCAATCTTTATTTTCTGTTTTTCTCCATTTCAAAATCTTTTCTATGGTAATAGCTCCTTCCATATTTTACTTTACTTCCACATATGATTTAATGTCCAGGTATTTGGTCACAAGTTGACTCTTGAATTTAAGTACATAAAATTTCTCTCTTTTTGAAACTGACTTTTGCTGTTTGATTTTAGGAATGGGATCATGGCCTTTGCCTCCCTTTCTTAGAATGGGACACAGGTTAGCAAGGTGCCCACTTGTCATACCTACCAATGCCTTCTGTGACGGTTCAGCCTCGTAGGACAGTTTGGAAATCTCTAATAAGATTCCAAGTGTGCAGTATTTAAAATGAGTCAGCAACCCCATAAGCACAAAGATAGTGGTTCAGGAATGTCTATTGCAACACTGCTTCTGGTCATAAAAGATGAGGATACAGCCCAGCATCCCTCTGCCGGAACCTGGTGCATCCATCTGTTAGAACACCAGGCAGCATGCACTGGGAAGGTGGTTCAGTGGTAGAGTGCTTGCCTCACATGCATGAGGCCCTGGGTTTTATTCCTCAGCACCACATAAGCAAAATAAGCCAGAAGTGGCACTGTGGCTCAAGTGGTAGAACGCTAGCCTTGAGCTGAGGACAGCGCCCAGGCCCAGAGTTCAGGCCCCACGACTGACAAAAAACAAACAAAAATACCAGGCAGCCACTGAAAATAACAGCCTCAGCTAACCTAAAACACACACACACACACACACACACACACACACACACACACACACACACACACACACACACACACACACACACACACACACACACACACACACACACACTTGCTGGGTGCTGGTAGCTCATGCTTGAAATCCTAGCTACTCAGGAGGCTGAGATCTGAGGATCCAGTTCAAAGCCAGCCCAGGATGAAAGGCTGTGAACTCTTATCTCCAACAATCTACTCAAAAAATTGGAAGTGGCACTGTGGTGCAAGTAAGCAAAGTGGTAGCATTGAGCAAAAGAATCTCAGGGACAGCACCCAGGCAGGAATGTTTGTGAGACACTTATTTCCAATTAACCACCAGAAAACCAAAAGTGGCTGTGGCTCAAGTGTTAGAGTGCTCACCTTGAGCTGAAGAGCTGAGAGACAGCCCAGGCCCAGAGTTCAAGCCCACAACCAGCCCCCAAAAAATGTTTAGCCATGTATGTGTGTGTGCATACGTGTGTGTCGAGAGAGAAAAGCAAAGAGGTAAAATATCAAGTTATGGAGCCCAAATAAAGGGTTATGAGTGTTTATTTTACCAGACTTCTAACTTTATAAAGTTAAGATTGTCAAAAGAAAAAGGTCTGAAAGTCTTGCAGTGGCTAAAGACTCTCCTCTAAAGCCATTTCTAAAGCTCTGATTGAAGTCCCAGTCACAGAAGTCAGTCTGCTGCTCCATCTCTGCAGCCAAGCAAACAAAAATGGTCTACTTGGTCCCTTCTGAGGATGGAGGATGGAATTGGTCTCACTTGGGGCGGGGTGCTGGTTCTCTCAGAGGGTTCACCCCTCCCTTACCAGATGCACTTAGCAGGCTTGTCCTTTCTCATCTCTCTGCTCCGCAGTGCCGAGAGGAGCCCGTGCAACAGCTCACTGCTGCAGGACAGCAGGAGGCCGGCCAGCCTCGTAGGCAAGGAGCTCATCCTAGCCTTCTTCCTCCTGCTGCTGCTGGTCTGGTTCCTGAACCGAGAGTTTGAAGTCAGCTACCGGCTGCACTACCACGGGGACGTGGAAGCAGACCTTCACCGCACCAAGATCCAGAGCATGAGGGACCAGGCCGACTGGCTACTCAGGAACATCATCCCCTACCACGTGGCCGAGCAGCTGAAGGTCTCCCAGACCTACTCCAAGAACCACGACAGTGGCGGCGTGATCTTCGCCAGCATCGTCAACTTCAGCGAGTTCTACGAGGAGAACTACGAAGGGGGCAAGGAGTGCTACCGCGTCCTCAATGAGCTGATTGGTGACTTCGACGAGCTCCTGAGCAAGCCAGACTACAACAGCATTGAGAAAATCAAGACCATTGGGGCCACGTACATGGCAGCCTCGGGGCTGAACACGGCCCAGTGCCAGGAAGGTGGCCACCCCCAAGAGCACCTGCGGATCCTGTTCGAGTTCGCCAGGGAGATGATGCGTGTGGTGGACGACTTCAACAACAACATGCTGTGGTTTAACTTCAAGCTCAGGGTGGGCTTTAACCATGGCCCCCTCACGGCTGGCGTCATTGGCACCACCAAGCTGCTGTATGACATCTGGGGGGACACGGTCAACATTGCCAGCAGGATGGACACGACCGGCGTGGAATGCCGCATCCAGGTGAGTGAAGAGAGCTACCGCGTGCTGAGCAAGATGGGCTATGACTTCGACTACCGCGGGACCGTGAACGTCAAGGGGAAGGGGCAGATGAAGACCTACCTCTACCCAAAGTGCATGGACAATGGAATAGTGCCACAGCACCAGCTGTCCATCTCCCCGGACATCCGCGTCCAGGTGGACGGCAGCATCGGACGGTCCCCCACCGATGAGATCGCCAATCTGGTGCCTTCTGTCCAGTATTCGGACAAGATGTCCCTGGGCTCCGATGACAACACGCAGGCCAAGGACATGCATCTGTCTTCAAAAAGACTGTGGAAGGAGCCCATCAAAGCCGAAGAAAGGTGTCGATCTGGCAAAGCCATAGAGAAGGAAGACTGTGAAGACACAGAAATGGAAGAAGCCAATGAGCTCACCAAGCTCAACGTCTCAAAGAGTGTGTGAGGCAGCCCTGCGGCTGCTCGGTGCTCTGTTCATTGAAACACAATAATATTTGTATCTGGCTGTCGTGCTTTCCAGGCGCCCCAGTTTCTGTCCCTGGTTGTGGTGTTATGTGGTCATTTCAGCCCTAACTTCTGTGTGGATCACAGTTATTCAGGGTTCCTTTCCATCCATTTCTCCTTTCCTTTGCTCTCTTCCCTGGAATTCTGCCCCCATTGGGGGATCCGTTTAGCCGCGTGGAGAACAAGTGCCTTCAGGGGTCGGCCTTGGCCTCGTCCAGGACGGAGGCTGCCGGTAGATCATGGCTCTGGGTATTCTTTGATGTCTTAAAAGATAGAGAGAGAGAGAGACGCTGTGGTTAGGATTTCATTGTTACTGCCTTTCCTCACAGACCCCTTTTATTATTTTATTTTATTTTTGTGCTCATAAAGTGCTTCTGAGTTTGTTTTCCTCTTTATGTTTCCCACTCACCTGGCCTTTCTAAGCACACACGCACACGCACACACATACACTTGCATTTATGAATCTGACATAAAGTGCCAGTAATACACCAGGAGGGGATTGGAGAGCAGAGCAGAGCCCCTCCCCGCTGGCGCGGGCACCTGCCCCCCCCCCCCCCCCGCACCCCGCACCCTGCGGGTTCAGGCATTCACCCGCATACTAGCCAAGATTTCAAATGCTCGCCGGGCACAGAGCTTGTAAACCCAGGCCTCAGGTATCTCAAAGCCGTTTTGGTTTTTCTCATCCTGACCCTCTGTGGAGGGCTCTTCCAGTCAGGAGTGAAGGTGTTCTTGTTTTTTGTTTTTGTGTTTGTGTTTTGGAAGCTGATTCGTCTGAGGAAGAAACTCAAAATAAACGTCTGAGGGTTGCATTTATTTATTTATTTATTTATCCGTATGTGTATGTTTTGCAGAGGGGGTGCCAGGTCGTGTCGGTGAGTGGAAATAGGCTGGTTTGGGGGGACGGGGGCAGGGGTTAGGGAAAGATGGTTTGCGAAGGGCATGGCAGACCAGCGTCTCTTCCTGTTTCATGTTTTTTGCTCCCCCTTGTGGGAAACCAGAGCAAAACTGGTCCAGCTTCAAAGCAGGTCCTCAAGGGTTGTCTTGGCTTCTATGCATGGCTGACTGGCGGCAGAATTTAATCTCGTGAGCTGCACAGAGAGGTAGAGCATTGTCTAAAGTGGGCCTCCAGCCAGTGGGAGGTGGAGAAAGACCTAAGGATAAGGTCTGTGTTCTTCATTGCCAATCCTGCTGGTGATTGTGGTTTTCCATGTTGAGTCTGAAGCCTCTGTTGAATGGAACTCGGTCTGCAGTTGTCCTGTTGTAGTTATTTTTTAGGTGATTCAGACAGCTCCGCCCTTGACATGACCAAGGTCTAGCCCTGCAGCTGTTGGAGGTCTTCACCCCCTCCGTGTGCTCTTTCGCTGGTAAACCTCACTGTGTGATTTCCACATCTGTGTAAGTCCCCTCAACACTCTTCCCCAAAGACAGACAGGACCTTCTATGCGCAGCATGATGCCATCTCCGTTCTGGCCAGCCACCTCCCTGGGGGAGGTGTGGGGTGCCATCAGCCACGTGGCCATCTGGGACCCAGAGTTTTCTCATTGACTTAAGATTTTTCTTCAGGTTTGACTTGTTTGTTGGTCTTCCAACTCTGAAGAAAGGATGGCTGTAACAATACCTCTTGCTTCTCAAGAATGTATTCTTATAAAACACCACAGATATTTTTTTTTGCCCCTTCAAAAACACTACCTGAGCTGGAGGTTTGGCTCCGCACTGAGCACCCATCTATAGCAAGCATGAGGACCAGAGTTCAAACCTCAGTACCACCAAAAGAGAACGAAAAAACACTACCTGATGCTTTCCTTGTACTCGGGGTTGTGAGCATGCTGGGTTTCCTCCTGTCAGTATTAAAGGTGTATCTCTGAATATCTGTCTGTCCTCTGTCCACCTCTGGGCTGTGTAGCTTTGAGGGGCTGGCTGCTGATGCCATTAATATCTTGCTCAAAATGGGCTCTTCCAAGTCTATCTCTGCATAGGATTCCCTTTCAGACTGTTTTTCTTCCCCTACTGCAAAGGTGTTTGCGATTGCCCCTTCCTGCAGGACCCCAGAGCTGTCAGCCAATGGGATCCTGTTCAGAAATGTGCAAATGGAGCCCCCCAAAAAAGGGCAGCTCACGCAGAGTGTATATGGTCTTTCAGAACACCCTGAGCCTCCCTAAAGAACCAGTACAGACGTTCTCTTGTTCCCTTGGGGCTTTCCCAGCTCCCTGCTCCGAAGCATACCTCAACACAGAACCACAGAATCTCCATGGCACACCTGCCGGGCATCTCAGTCTGCTGACAGTGACATACAGTGCTTGCTGGAGACAGACGGGCAGTGGGCTCAAGCGTTTGTCTTTGGGAGGGAGGCACCCTGCAGGTGGCAGTACTTCTTAGGAGCCTAGGGCAGGAAGCAATACTTCAGAATTGAATGTGTGTAAATAGTTGCTTTGCAATTGCTCTTTTCTCTTGGCCCCAGCTCAGATCAAATTTTATACATCTGTAATGATCAACAAGCACACATCAATCGGTTCACCAAACGCCCACAAATGTAGAGCATCAGTTCCAAACCCTTAAGTCGCTTGGCGAGTCCCACCGATTGTGCCACACCTGCGCATGGCTCCTCCGACGCTGACGTCTCTCATGGGGACTACACCTGCACATTTGCACACGACACAGAAAGCCAAAGGCAGTGCGCGGCCATTACCTGGGCTGTAATCAATCGTAGTTTCCAAAGATAACGTCTGCATTTGAATTTCTAGATTTCTTTCTGAGGTAAGCATTTTGTTTTGATTGGTTGTTTTGAAAATTACATAATGCCTACAATCTGAAATTAGTAAGAGCCAACTATTTGCATTTTCCATGTTTCTTTTGCTCTGCTCTTTTTAAATTGTTAATTCTAAGAATTTCAAAATGCATCCACTGAAGAAATGGATATTAAAATACTCTAAAACCTAACTTTGTTGCCTGGCATTTTCTTATTGGAAAAAAAAAATCAGTGTCAGTTCTACCCCAGGACTCCTCTTCAGAATAATTTGCTTTTCTTTCAAAACAAAGACCAGTGAAAAAGCTCTGTATGGTGTTGGTGTGTGTGTGTGTGTGTGTGTGTGTGTGTGTGTGTGTGTGTGAGCGCACACATGTATGCGCACATACATGTCTGTCTAATGGGTACATTGACTCTAGTTAACTTTGGCTGAGAAGTTTTGTTTTATTTTCAACAGGGATTTGGCCAGGCATGATTGCTCAAGCCTGTAACCCTAGCTACTCAGGTAATGGAGATCAGGGGATGGTGGTTGGAGACTAGCCTGGCAAAAATGTTGACAAAACTCTATCTCAACCAGTGTCTGGGCAGGGTAGCCCATTCCTGTTGTCCTCAATGGCATGTAAGCCTGAGTAGGAGGGTAACAGTCCAGGCTGTCCCATGCATAAAGCAAGATTCTTAAAAACAAGGCAAAAGGGTCAGGAGATGTGACTCAAGCAGTAGAGCACATACTTAGCAAGTATGAGGCCAGTGAATTCAAATCCCAATACTGTCAAAAAAGAAATAATAAAGCCGGGCGCTGGTGGCTAATGCCTGTAATCCTAGCTACTCAGGAGGCTGAGATCTGAGTATCAGGTTCAAAGCTGCCCGGGCAGGAAAGTCTGTGAGACTCTTACCTCCAATAAACCACTCAAAACGGGAAGTGGTGCTGTGGCTCAAGTGGTAGAGTGCTCGCCTTGAGTTGAAGAGCTGAGGGACAGTGCCCAGGCCAAGTTCAAGCCCCACAATTGGAAAAAAGAAAAGAAAGAAAATAAGAAAAAATCAGGTTTCAGGACAATATACCTATGTCACTAGGACTTCCTTTAAATGTTTTTCCTTTACCTTCTTAAATGCAGTCTACCTCAAAGTGATGTATACTCCTAAAGGTACAGTAGTTCCTGAACCTTTTGGAGATGTCATAGCCCATTGCAGAATGCTGAAAGTCAAGAGTCGTTTCCCAGAAGAAAAAAAAAATGCCATTTTGTATATATAGTAGGGGTTCATGGCATCTTTGAATCTGAGGCTAAGCTGTAGATTGCCTGGGATTTAGAATCTTCTATGAAGGCTTCTCCTGGGGAGTCAAGAATTTATGAGCAACATCAGAGCATAAAAATTCTTTCAGACTCCAGGAAAGAAGACGAAGCCTCCACTTGCATCCGCTGCTCATCAGCTTGCGGAGATCTAAAGTCTGCAGGCCCCAGGACAGAGTGAACACTGCTAGCCAGGACTCTGCCTTCCAGCTGTGTTGTGGGCATTCCAAGGATGGCAGGTTAGGGAATAAGCATCTTCCCACTGCACTGAAGTCCTGATACGTCAGGAGGCAGGCTTTCTGCTACCAAAGGCACCCAGGGACTTAGAGGATTTCTCAGTCAAGCCAGCCTGGGCCTCTGCAATAAGCCCCAGAACTTACCATGCGTCTTCTCTGCATGTGGTTCCTCTCCCTGCTGTGGGACTCTACCATTATGGCCATCTGCAATGGATCCCAAGGACCAGGAAAAGGAAGCTCACGGGAGGAAGAGCCCATGAGAGGCAATGTACTTGCACAGCCACCACCTTCCCAAGTGTCTGTATTTATATAGTTCCTTTAACTGATGAAATAGCATGGCTCCAAAGGGCTGTTAGTGAGTATTAGAAGGATTTAAGCTTGGGGAATGCTCCTTTTCCAGCTGGCTTTCAAAGACTGGAGGAAAAGTAAATTAAGCAATCTGTGCAACTATTGGAATCTCATTCATCAACAGTGGTTCTTAATTTTTTTTTTTTTGGCTTGTAGAGATTTTAATAACTTGATGAAAGTTGTGGTTCTTTGGGAAATGAATATAAAAAGTCAACTCTCTTATTTAGGCACCTGTGATCCCAGCTGTTCAGGAGGCTGTGATCAGGAGGATCAAGGTTCAAAGCCAACCTAGGCAGAAAAGTCTGAGACAGTCCCATCTCAAAAATAACCAGCAGCCAGGCACCGTTGGCTCACACCTGTAATCCTAGCTACTCAGGAGGCTGAGATCTGAGGATCATTATTCAAAGTCAGCCCAGGCAGAAAAGTCCATGAGACTTTGATCTCCAATTAAAAAAAACCCACTAGAAAACCGGAAGCGGTGCTCAAGAGGTAGAGGTAGAGCACTTGCCTTGAGCTGAAGAGCGCAGGGACAGCGCCCAGGCCCAGATTTCAAGCCCCACGACCAAAAGACACACGAAACAGCAAAAAGCCTAGCTGAAGATGTGGCTCAATTGACGCAGCACTAGTTACGTTGCATATGATTTCAAATGTATAGGTCCCCCTAATTAGGGGAATGAGAACTTTTAATCATGACTCTGTACATAATGTTTCAAACCATCTTCCACTGCAAACTCCAGAACATGCCACTGCTGTTCAGTTTATTTATGTATACTTTACTTATCAAAATTTCATATCTGTTACTTATTTTGGAGGAGCCAAAGGACTTTTCAACAGATAACTTTAAAGTTAGCCCAACTACTTCTGACAGCTGAATAAAATTCAGCCAGTGTTTGTTGAGTGTCTACTCTGTACCAGCTAATGGCACCATGCTCATTTGGCTCAGGTGGTTAGGTGTGCTGCAGTACTAGAGATCATTTGAGAACTAGCAGCATCATGTCTCCTCTAGGACCCCCAACACCGTCCTTCCTGGCACTTGGGAGAGGAACTTCTTTGTTCTCTCTCTAGCCGTAAAGGAGAATCAGCACTGCATAGCTGCCCCCTCCCTTCTGTGAGACTTTGCTGGAGTTTGTTCAACACTGAGCTCATGGTCAGGAGTGAACCAAAGCTTATTTCCTTTGGACTGCTTTGAGCAAAAATAGAAGAAAAGGACTTATATTTTCCAGTGATACGTATATTTTTTCATCAAGTACAGATCCAAAGTAAGTATTCAATGGCCTAATTTCCCAGTCTCTTAATTTAGAAGCATGACCATCAATTTCCTAGATTGTTTAAGTATCTGGTGAAAACAAGCCACCAAGCTTAGGTGCCCAGGAATCATAGAAAGTTTCCTGTGTGTTAGCCAAGTACCAGTGGCTCACGCCTGTAATCCTAGGTACTCAGGAGGCTGAGATCTGAGGATCATGGTTCAAAGCCAGCCCAGGCAGGAAAGACCGTGAGACTCCTATCTCCAATAAACCACTAGAAAACTGGAAGTGGCACTATGGCTCAAGCAGTAGAGCGCTCGCCTTGAGCTGAAGAGCTGAAGGACAGCTCCCAAGCCCAGAGTTCAAGCCCCATGACCGACCTAAAAAAAAAAAAGAAAGTTTCCTGTGTGTAGTGGGTTGGATTTCCAGCATGGACAGGTAGGGCAGGAGTTTGGCTTCTTTAGCTGTGGAAACGAGTGTGTATGGCTGATTGACAACCACAAATACAAAGAAAGGCTGGACTCTCATTCCGGAGAGCATTAGCAGTTTGGTTTATCTGTTTGTTTTCTGTTTTAATTCAGCCCTACTCTTTAGAAAGAGAAACTTCCTGCTGGGGGTCTAGATCTGTGATGGAGCCCTTGGTGAGCATGCATGGTCAATTTCCAGCATTGCAAGAGAGAAAGAAAACCCTCTCTCTATTCTCCGCTCAGCACTGTGCCAGACAGGTAGGAAGATGTGCATATTAATAGAAGAAATAGATGCTCTTGTAGCCAACCACACACTTGCTTGCCCTTCTCTTATCCAATGTATATTTAAGTACCATTGGGTTACAAAGGGAACTGCTTTCTGGCCAGGTGGCCGTCCTGAGATTTAAGCAATCATCTCACAGAGCCCCTTCCCCAGTGCTCTTTGGCCCTCTATCACCAGGAAAGATCCCTCTTGGCAGCCAGCATACCAGAATGTCCTTTTAACAGAGCCTGTGCTTGTTATGTGGGTGCTCTACTGCTGAGCCTTTCTGCCAGTCCCTTTTTGTATGAATTGTTTTTGAGATCTCACTTTATACTTGGGCTGGCCTGGGCTGTAGGCCTTCATCTGTACTTCCCTTTGTTGCTGGGATGACAGGCTTGCTCTACCGCACCCAACACTGTGCTTCTGCCCCCAGAGTATGATGGGTGCACATCATCCGTCTCCCAAAGAGTTAGGGTTACAAGTGTGTGCCCCCACACTTAACTTCAGAAGGTCCTTTTGGAATAAAAATGTATCGTGTATAACAGATTTATGAGCAAATGAAAAAAAAAATTCATGGGTCTTGCTCTCCATTCTCAAAAGGTGTTAGATTTAGTTTTGATTTATGAACTGCTTTTGCTGAGAAACTTTTTTCTTTTTTTTTTTTTCTTTACTGGAACTTGAGCCTTGCCTCTTTCTTTAGCTTTTGCTGCTCAAAACTGGCACTCTAGCCAGGTGCCCGTGACTCAGACCTACTACTCAGGAGGCTGAGATCTGAGGATCATGGCCCAAAGCCAGCCCATGAAGGAACTTCTGTGAGACTCATATCTCTAATTATCCACCAGAAAACCGGACGTGGAGCTGTGGCTCAAGTGGTAGAGTGCTCACCTTGAGCTGAAGAGCTCAGGGACAGTGCCCAGGCCCAGAGTTGAAACACCGTGACCAACAAAAAACAAAACAAAACAGTCACTCTATTACTTGAGCCACAGCTCCATTTCTAGGTTTTTAACTGGTTAATTGAGGGAAAGAAAGAGACTCGTGGATCTGTCCATCCAGACTGGCTTTGAACTATTTTAACTTTGTAGCTTTCAAAAGTTTCCAGGATCATGAGAGTTTGACACCAGTGAGGTTCACGAAGATGCCCACTGTGAGGTGAATTCAGTGCCCATCTGGTGTGTGTCTTCAGCAGTGGCTTTCAGTGGCTCTTGCCTTCACTGGACATGTGTGTACTTACGAACTCACACCTAAACACTCATGCATGGAGACCCTGGCAAGCAGTAAAATAAGGTTGTACCTAACTAGGTCTAAAGTTTCCATGACAGAAAGTTAGTATTTCCCCAGAAACACAATATTC